TCTTCTTCTATATTCTGTCTATGTTCAATTGGGCTTAGGTGATTTAAAACCAACGTTGGTAGTTTTGCAACTAGCCAACCGATCCATTAAAAATCCCTGGGGAATCATTGAGGATGTTATGATCAAAACTGATAAGTTCTTCTTCCCGATTGATTTCATTGTCATTGATACGAAAATGGTCCCAAATCCTAAGAGCTAAATTCCTGTTATCCTTGGCCATCCTTTCTTGACAATCACTAATGCCAACATCAATTGTAGGACGGGGATAATGAAAATTTCATTTGTCTATATGAAAGTAAAGTTGAACATTTTCAATCCAACCCCAAATTCTATAGACAAGCATGAGGATTTATGTGTTGTCAATGTTGTACAAATGAATTTGATAAAAATGCATCTTTGCTTGATGTTGAAACTTCAATTGTTTTACCTTCCAAAGAGTTTTCAAATGAAAATGTTTTCAAGACAAGTGTTGAAAGGGCATGGAAGCCCAAAGGTTTTGTTGAAAAGGACCATCAATTTCATTTGAATCAAATCAAACAAGTTCCTTAGGGAATAGTTTGTTGGGTGGGATTCAAAATTCCATTCACCCCACCAAGGAGACGATGCATACCAAGATTTTTGATCCGAGCTAAAAAACGTCTTGCTAGAGACTTTAAAGACTAGTGTGTTTTGTAGGGTTTGCCAACCTTATTCCTCCCTCATTTCTTGTTTTGATATTTCCTGCGTCGTCTAGATATGTGTTGAATTGAAAAATCTTGTTTTTGAAAAATTTCCTGCACTTTGTACACTTCCAGTGAGGTTTCGATCATTCGAACTCAAGTTCGATTGATCGAAATTTCACTTCGATCGATCAAAGTCTATTCGAATCGATTGAAGTCCATTTGGATCGATCGAAGTTAAATTTTCAATCGATCGAAGTCCTTTAATCGATTGAAAATGCGTTATTTGAATTTTCAAAAAATGCTTTGGCTGTTCATTCTTTAACCCTATTTTTTTTTTCTTTTTCTTTTTCTTCCCTCTTCCCTTATTTTTCTTTTTCTTTCTTTCTTCTCTTTCTTCCTCCATCTCTCTTCTCTTCTCTCGACCAACCCATTTCTCTCCTCTCTCGATTCTCCATTTCCCTCATGTCTCTCATCTCAAACCCTCTCAATCTCTTTCAGCCGCCAACCACCACCACTCCCCCAACCTTCTTCTTCCATTTTCGGTAAGCCCCAAACCCCATTCATCGCCACCGTTAAGCCCCATTAAATCCAGCGAGGATTTTTGGTCCAAAGGCCAAATCCCGGCATCAATTTTTCTTTTCTCTCTTGGGTAGTGTCACACCCATTATCTCTCTTTTCTCATAAGTATGTGCATTAATTGTGTTTTAATTGAATGGTTTTTTATCTCATTTGATGGGTTGTGCTATTCACTAGATTGACTAGACAATATATGATTATTTGCCATCCATTATGCTTTGTTTTCAATTAGTGACACACACACACACACATTTTACAACTTTAATTTCCCCATTAATTTACAATTGCTAGTGTTTGGTGAAGTGAAGCTTAGTGGTGAACTCTAAGCCCCAAGACCTCTCTCTCCTATATTTTTCTCTAATTTCTAGATTGATACTTGCTTGCAATATTTTAATTAAACCAATTTCTTAATCAACTCAAACCATCTTTTGATCATTCGACCTACTAATCCAATAATTGATTTCAAAACACGATTCCTTTCCCTTGGAATGATCCTTACTCACTCTTGCTATATTTTAGTTAGTAATGGTAGAGGCATTCTATAAATTTAAACTTGGCCATACTACACACTTTTGTGCAACTAGGTCTTGACACCACCAACACTAAAATTACAATAATATTTCTCTGGTGTTTAACGTTCAGCCACTACCACTTTTTATAACATTCGACACTTTTGTACCTTATAGAAACTTGCAAAAAAAATTCTCTGGTGTTCGGCATTCAGCCGCTGCCATTTTTTATAGTGTTCGGCACTTTTGTGTCTTAGCTAAAATTGTAATAATTTTCTCCCACATTTGTCATTCGGCCGTTGCCACGTTTGATAGCATTCGGCACTTTTGAGTTAAAATTGTTCTTTGGCATTTGACGTTCAACCGCTACATCTTTTTATAACATTCGACACTTTTGTGCCTTAGCTAAAATTGCAATAATTTTTCTGTGGCATTTTATAACGTTCGGCACTTCTGTGGCTTAGCTAAAATCGCAATAATTTTTAGTTCAGCATTTTTGTGGCTAAGCTAAAATCGCAATAATTTTTCTCTGTCGTTAGGTGTGAAAGATAAAAATGGGAGCTTCCCTACACTACTTCTTTTAGGCTATGGAGGGAAGTTCCCATGGCATTCCTTGTGGTAAAGTTCACCATATAAAAAATGCTTCAGGGTTAACTCTTTAAGTACCCGATGTGGGACCACTTCACATCAAATATAGCCACATGACATGGTTTTAATTTGATTGTAAAGATAAGGGTTAATAGATCTCTTTAAATCAACTAAATGTTGGGAGTCCATCTATTGCGGAAGGTTTAATTCTTAGGGAATTTTTGTCTCTTCTCCGACTTTGGGTGTACCACAATGTCATCGTGGAAGGGGACTGTCAGCCTATTATACGCCTTCAAGCAAATGATGAGGCTTTATGTGTTCTTTTTCACGATGTATGCTCTCTCCTTTGTTTATGCAATGGTTCCTCCTTGGCTTAGGTGTCTCGCCAAGGTAATATTGTAGCTAACTTGTTGAGCAAAAAGGCTCTTGCAGCCGCATGTTTTGATCTCGAGTGGAGAGTCTGGTCCAAGTGGCTGTTAGACGCTTTTAGCTCTAATTGTATATTTCCTCCTTTTGAATGATATGGTGTTTCGTTTAATGTTAAAAAAAAAAAAAAAAAAAAAAAAAAAAATCAACTACTTCCTTAATTAATTATGGTAGCAATTGAAGTCCATCCCGTCTCCTTGTTGGGATGGGAGGGCTTCAATTTTCCTTGCCTTCTTAATGAAGAAAAATAATTTTATAGTGAAGCAAAACATTGTTTTCATACGAAGTGAGTCCTTTTACACATATTATCTAAATTAGAGGTTGACATTCTCCAAATTACCCTTTTTAAAGGTTGGCATTTTCCAAATTACCAATATTTTGTAAATACGAATAATCCTCCTTTTATTTTTTTTATACATAAAACTCAGAGTAAAAGAAATGTTTTCAAGAGGAAAATTTACAGGAAAAAAAAAAAAAATTACATACATTTTATTAATGGTGGCTTCATCAGTCCCTTGAGAAAGATGTTTAAGCCAGCATGTTGATAATAATAATAATAATAATAATAATAATAATAATAATACATGAACATTAAAATATTTTCGTGGAATGAGAATAAATTACAAGAAAGTAAGGGCCTGATTGGTTTGTAACTCTGAAAACATAACTCAAGAACTCAGAAAACAGAAATCTGTTCTCAGAGAATAATCTTTTATAGTTATCTGAAAATAAAGTTTTTTAAAAATAATTTTTAGAAAATTTAATCAAATAAATTTTTTTGTACGATACGTTTTCTGTTTTCAATTTTCTGAGAATAAAAAACTGTTTTCATAGTAACAAACCAAACAGGCCATAATAAACCCTCTTTAACTCTACCCTATTCACCTGAGTCTTCATTCCTCCCCCTAGTTTAGAGAGAATGAGTTATGAGGGAAAAAAGAAATTTTGAAAAATCAAAATACATGAGGGAAGAAGAAATATTTAAAAATCAAAATATATCTCTCAAAATATAAGAGGGAAAAAGATAATTTTAAAATTCAGATTATTCGACTTGATGATGATGATATTTGTTGTAGCTAGTATAAAAAATAAAGCATTATGCTGCAATCAAAACTTGAAGTTGAGACCACGTATAAAGTAAGTTATGCACTATACCATTTCTCCTGCAATGCTTTTGGTGTTCTCATTCACCTATTAATAAATGCTATAATTTTTTTTTTTTTTTTTTTTTGCTTCTTTAATTCTCATTCGGAAATTAATTCCTATAAAATATGAAAAGTAAGGATAACAACATTTAAATGATATAAAAGATTAATTAAATAATTATTTTTGAGTAAAAAATAGCAAGTTTTGTGCATTTATCACAAATTTTAATCAATTAAAAAAGAAAAAAGAATATGAATAAATCTGATATTTCATTTTAATCGTGTAAAGTGTGACTAGACGGACTTAGTGTCACCCTGGACTTTAACAATTGCAAATCAAAAGTTTCGAATTTTTTTTTTTTCTTTAGCTACCGACCAAGTTCAACTGGTGAAAAATTGTGTGACTCACGACTTTGGCAGTTTGGACTTTGAACTTCAAAAACTTCAATAGCAACCTAATATGACACAAAAATAAAATGTGCATTTTGTATCTCACTCGCATACATTTGAGTATATGATATTTTTATCAAACCGAAGTACACTCGCTTGCACGCAGAGGCGGAGTCAGGATTTTAATTCAGGAGGGCGCAATGTTAAGAAAGAGAGAGAGAGAGAAGAAGAAGAAGAAAAAGAGAAACAGAAAAATAGAAGAATTTAAAGAAGTAGAAGGGATTAAAAATAAAATAAGGGAAGAAAAATGAAAGAAAAAAAAAATAGAGTTTAATTTAAGAAGTTTAACTTTTTTAAAGGAATTTAAATAGTAAAAGAGAAAAAAAGTTGGAAAATTAAACAATAAATTTAGAAAATAATAATCTTAGGGGACATTAATTTAAATTTTTTATATATTTTTATATATATATATATAAATTACCATGTATATTTAATGGGGCGGGCAAGTATCCATTAGGCATACTTGCACTCGTAATTTTGCTTTCTGAAATAAAAATTACAGCTCAATTAAACATATCAAAACGGAAATTAACCAATTACAAACTTGTACCTCACACTTTTCTGTGTGTCCTGTGAGTTGATGTTTCAGTTTATATCTATTATTCTCCCTTGACCAAGACTCTGTGAAGGAGCCTTATCTTCATCCAGCCTCTGCTTAATTGCACTATCTCGGATCTGAAGGAATTCATTTCCCAATGAACCCTTCCATTGTTCTTTTCCTCTCCACTGTCCTTCACCTCCTCCTTCTCCCAACCACCGCTGCGGTGTCACCCTACACTCCCACCTATTCTGTCCTGCTTGACTGTGGCTCAGTCTCCAACACCACCGATACCTCCGGACGAAACTGGGAGGGCGATGCCCACTCCAAATTCACTCTCTCCAACACCGCCCTTAACTCTTCTTCAACCTCCACCGCCACCTACCAAGAACCCACCGTTCCTACAGTCCCCTACGTAACCGCCCGCATCTTCCACTCCCCATTCACCTACACCTTCTTCGTCACCGCCGGTCCCAAATTCCTCCGCCTCTACTTCTACTCCAACACCTACTCTGGCCTCGACCCTACTCAATTCTTCTTCTCCATCACTTCCAATCACTACACTCTCTTAAGCAACTTCAGTGCCTTTTTAACGGCTATTTCAATCGATCAAGGTACTTCATTCGTCAAAGAATTCATCATCAACATCGAAGATAACCAAACGCTTCTTAACATAACCTTCTCACCATCTCCAAACTCTTATGCTTTCATTAACGGTATCGAGCTGGTTTCGATTCCGGACAATCTCTACGGACATGGCAATAATCAACCCATCACACTCGTGGGTGCAGATTACTTCTATTATTTTGATAACAACACTGTTCTTGAAACCCTTTACCGGTTAAACGTTGGTGGTGATGATTTCGGCGATGACACCGGCGTGTTTCGGACTTGGGATAAAGATGACATGTATATATATGGTGCTGCTGTAGGGTTTAGACCTCATAGGTATGTTCCGATCCACTACACTTGGAAAACACCGGCTTACACTGCACCCGAGATTGTTTATACTTCGGCAAGGACAATGGGCGACCAAAGTCTTACCTATAATTTGACGTGGATTTTTACTGTTGATTCTGGGTTTGATTATCTTGTAAGACTTCATTTCTGCGAGTTTATGGTGGACGTGACTAAACAAAATCAGAGGGTGTTCACTATATATCTTAACAATCAAACGGCTGAGGAAAAAGCTGATGTGATTTTCTGGAGTGGTGGCAATAATATTCCGGTTTACAGAGACTATGTCGTACGGGTCCCTGAAGTTGATGGTCGCCGGAGCAAACAGGGCTTGTGGCTCGAGATGCACCCTAACATGGCTGACAAACCTGCCTTCAATGACGCGATTCTGAATGGTTTGGAATTGTTCAAATTGAATCAATCAGACGGTAGTCTCGCCGGGCCTAATTCTTATACAGCCGATACACTCAACCCCACCCCAAAGTTGTCAGGTGAGATCTACGGCTCCTACAAAATTAACTATTTATCATAAGGATATTTGGAGTCCGATTGATTTATATGAGTGAAAGACTAATATCATTATAATGTCTCATGATATCATACTCGCATAAAATTAATATGATATATTGGACTGTCACTTCCTATTATTACTCGTCACAAAGTTACTCCTATGTTATATCTTCTATCATTTGTCGTTCATTGTATTATTGTAGTGTCTTATACATGTTAGTTACTTTTAATTTGACAACATTTTCTGGGCATTCAACTAATTTTTCTCGTCTTACAGGATCAACTAGAAGCTGGCTGAAGATTGTAGTAGGTAACAAAATAACATCTCTATGTTCCTTTCATTTTGCTCATTTGAGGGAATTATAGTATAATTATTATACCAATCTTTCTATACGCATACTTAAACTAAGCTAATTCTCTTTACTCTGTCCGAATAATTCTTTTAAACAATCTATATTTTGCCTATTTACTCATCCATCATCAATAAGCGTATTTAAGATATGGTGCATATATAAATCTGAATACATGACATTCCTTCAATTTACTCTTATCTCAGCGGGTGTGGCTGGACTTCTATTAGTCTCTATTTTGGTGATACACTACTTTAGAAGAACATACTTATGGAGGAAGGAAACAAAGAATGATCAAAACGTCGAGGCATTTTTTAGGAATTTTGACTCCCATGTTCCAAAGCGGTATAGTTATTCAAATATTAAAAGAATGACCAACTCATTCACAGACAAATTAGGCCAAGGGGGATATGGTGTCGTGTACAAAGGGAAGCTATTAGTTGGTGACCAGCTAGTGGCAGTGAAAGTCCTGAGCGAGACCAAGGGTGATGGTGAGGAATTTATCAACGAAGTTGCTACCATTAGCAGAACTTCCCACGTCAATGTAGTCACTTTTTTAGGTTTCTGTTATGAGAGAAACAAAAGAGCTCTAGTTTATGAGTTCATGAGCAATGGATCTCTCGATAAGTTCATCTACAGTGATGGATCTCCAAATTCAAACTATCATTTAGATTACAAAGCATTGTATCAAATTGCAGTTGGTGTTGCTCGAGGACTAGAGTATTTACACCGAGGTTGTAGTACAAGGATTGTTCATTTTGATATAAAACCTCAGAACATTCTTTTGGATGATGACTTCTGCCCCAAAATCGCTGATTTCGGCCTTGCTAAATTAGGCCAAAGGAAAAATAGTATCATGTCGATGGTGGGTGCGAGAGGGACAATTGGATACATTGCTCCAGAAGTATTTTCAAGGAATTTTGGTGGGGTCTCTCATAAATCTGATGTCTACAGTTATGGAATGATGGTTCTTGAAATGGTTGGTGGAAAAGAGGACACTGGAGCTAGAACAGACCATTCAAGTGAAGTATATTTTCCGGACAACATTTACGAGCAATTGGAACACAATGAGGATCTTAATGGTGTTACATCCGAAGAGGAAAAAGAAACAAGAAGAAAAATGACTATAGTGAGTTTGTGGTGCATTCAGACAAATCCAGAAAATCGCCCATCAATGACTGTTGTTGTAGAAATGTTGGAAGGAAGCCTTCAATCCTTGCAAGTTCCACCTAAACCCATACTATCTTCTCCTCCTAGGTTGGAACAAAATTCTTCTGCAATATTACAACAAAGTTCTAGTACAGACTGAAAAAAAGGGGTTTTGAATTGAATGGAAGTATAGTATCAATCATATATCTTTATGGTTTTCCTTTTTGCCTTTTGACAAGGCTCTGGATTTCCTCATTGTTCCTCGTGATTTTATCCTATGAGAAACAATATCTTTTGAACCGACTCGTCTACCACGCTTCATGCGTGTCTTAGGTGCATTTGTTGCCTTGCGACGCTCGCCTTGGTCTTGGGTTGGCAATCAAAGCGTCGAGCTTATCTTGAACTGTAGCGAAAGTAGGATTGTTGCATTGCTTGGCTTAATTACCACAGCAATCTTGTAGTACTCATTATTATTCAAGAATGTCAAGTGATTTATTCCTAGTATATTTTCTTGAAGAAAAGTTTATACTCATTACACTCTGTTTGGCTAAATAAAAAATCCATTTATCTTGCAGTTTTGGAAAGTTGCAATGGCTATCCTTAAGTACATCTTTGCAGTTTTACTTGATGAAAACAATCAATTAAGTGCCCTATTCTGAATTTTAGGTCTCGTATCATAGTTCGTATAAATTTTAAGTATAATATGTATGCCAAAGGAAATGTAATTTACTTTTTTAGACAAACACAACGTTCTTTCAAAACCAGAAACTGACCTAGTTGAACCTTTGCAACAAGAACAACTCAGTTTCATACTCTGCGTGGAATCCAAAATCCAGTTCATAATAGTTCCAGGATTATTTAGCTACAAAACAAATCATTCTAAAGGTGCTTAATTACAAATAAGTTGAAAAGAAAGAAATGAAAGGAAAGAGAATGTGACTCAATCAATTAATTTCACATCAATTTTTTTTGTCAAATTATGGCATTTTTGCATGTCATTGAAGTGGATCAATTTAGTTGGCTTGAATTGAAAATCCGTGATAATATCATACAGATACTTCATTATTCTCGCAGACCATTGAGGTATAAGTGGATGCTTAGTTGCTTACATAATGGACTAACGAAATAATGATGAAAAAATAATACCATATATAGATATATTCATGCACTCAAACGAAATAATCCCAACGAAATAAACCGCACAAGTCTTTGTTGAATTGAGATAATTAAATTGAACTTTATGAATTTAATAAATCTTAATCTTTTTATGTATGTATTCACCATTCAAAAAAAAAAAGTGTACATATTTTATAGGCCAAATTTTAGATATACTCTTTATAATATAATAGAGTGATATTCGTATATATATGTCAAAACAAAAGTAAATTTTTTTGTTGACTTAGTGATAACAAGACTATGTTAGAGAGGTGATATTAATAATCACCGTTACATACTCACTAGACATCCTACTGAGAAACTAATTGAAGAGAATTTTTTTTCCTTCTTTACAATGCAAAGGAAAAAGTTTATGCTCTATTTGGTAGCTAGGGAAAAAAAAAATGGATGAAAGAGAGAGAATAAGGGGATGGATAAGTACCTAGCGAATAGATTGTGCATTTTCATTAGTTTTTGTTCGGTTAGATAAAAGAGAAAAGAATAAACTAAAATTTTCTATGTTCGAAAAGAAGAAGTTTTAATTGTTTTTACCATTATATCCAATAATATTTATAATATTAATTGTACTCTAATTTAAAACTTTTATAACAATACACTTATCTTCCCTCTTTTCTTCCTATTTTTCTTTGTTTCCTTGTATCATTCCTATCGAATGAAGAAAATTTGTAAGGGAGAAATTTTCCCTTCTTTCCTTGTTTCATTCATACTAAATGAAGAAAAATTATTCCGTCTTTTATATTTTCTCTCTACACCTCTTCCTTCCTTTCTATTGGACACAACATTAGTGTTCAAATTCTTATAGAAACAAGTGAGACATTTGAATTTCAAATAAGATTTAAAAAAAAAAATTCAATTATTATTATTTTTAAAAAAAACATTTTTCTTTATTCTTTAATATTATTGGAAAAAAAAAATTTATTTATTCTTTAATTTAGCTGTCACTAGTTTACAGCAATATTTAGCTGTCAAAGAATGACTTTTTTTTCTTCTTTTTTTTTTTTTTTTTTTTCAAGGTAAGAAAATTTCATTAGCATAAAGCAAGTATCAAAAAAAGACATTCCATTTCCACAATGTCAACCAAGGAAGGTGGAAAAGAAGAAAAGAAACAGACTGAATCTTTAATTCTCATTGCATACTGGGCTAACCAATGGACGGCTTTGTTGCCTTCCCTGTGAATAAATTTGATTGAAAAGTCAACTCTTCAAGATAAAAGAAGCTGGATATCTTCAATCAATTGCATCAATAATTATTGTGTATAGAATTGCAAAAAATCATATTTAACAACTAAATGATAACAAGAACATTGACTTGTTTAACAAATAGCAATCTTTTTAATGCTACAAATCTACATTGGTCCGCTTACCTACTAATAATCTTAAACGAACCTGCCATGGGAGAGTGTGGAAAAGCCAGTCACCACGGCTCTCTCTCTCTCTCTACTCTCTCTCTCTCTCTGTGTTGCAGATCTTGAGCAGGAACCAACCGAAAAAAATTGAGCATTTGCAACAAGAAATGGGATTCTGCTTCAGATCTGTGACCAAGTTCACCACTTGGACCTGTGTTCTTGTGTTCTATCTTTCTTGCTTCAGCTTTAGTTCAACAGGTTAGCACATTTATGTCTCTTCTATTTATTAATCTCACTAAATTTGGAGTCTTGTAGCTGTTTATTGATGCGTGGTTAATGGGTTTTGGGTACCTTCAAAGATTTGACTCGTTTTAGTGTATACGGCTTCTTGAAGCCTAATTGACTGATGGAATTGGAAAATGAGGAAATGGGTTCCTTCGGTCATCCATTTCAGGCATTTTTGTTGTTTTGGATTTCTGTTTGATGCTCATTTTAATGAATTTTAGTAGTTGAACTTGAGATTTAGCTCTAATTTTAGCTTTTCTTGAAAATGGATTATAAGAAAATTCCAAAGTAGTAAGAACTTGATCTCTCTCTCTCTATATGTGGTGAATAGTGATTAAGCTTTTAACTTACCTTGTAATGAAGATGATGAAACAATTGAACTGGAAAGAGAAGGATTTGTGTTTGTTATTATGATGCAGAGAAAATTCAATCCTAAATTAGATCTACTTTCTCTTTCCCAATATTTATTTTGTCCAAGAAATTTTCACTCTGTTTCTTTATTCCTGGTTAAAAATGTGTTTCAAGTTGCAATCAAATACTTAGCTCCTGAATTTCCAGGAATTGTGTCTCTAGGAATTCCAGAATTGGAGACATAGATAACACACTTCGTGGGGGCAAACATCTCCTCTACTAATATGAACCGACCACGGACCGATTTCTTTTGGGCCACTAGACTTCCAAGGCCCAGTTTGATCAAACCCAAAAGAGTCATCATCAGCCCAATACAAGATCGGCTTAATCTGTTCTTGATCAAACCTTGACAAACATTTTTCATGATTCGGATCAGATCAATCATGGCATCGAAGTAACCTCACATGGAAGGAGCTAAATGAAGAAAGAACCCTATATAAAAAAAATACCTCATATGGAACAAATACATTAGAATGAATTTGGAAGACAAGTAAGGCGTTCTGAATACATTTGTATAAATAAGGGCAAGTCCCCAATAAAAGATAATACGCAGCATTTGCACTATCATTATTCTTTTACCTTGAATCTGTCATTGTCATTTTCTCTAAGTGCGTTGACTTCTATGCATTGCCTTTTCAAAGTTGACTAATTTTTGCACCTAAACTTCTTTATCTGTTCTTTCTTATCTTAAACATAATCATTGTCAAACTTTGGAGGTGAATTAAATCTATTTATTTGCTGAATGCGCCAAATTGAAAAAAAAAAAAAAAAAAAAAAAAAAAAAAAAAAAAATTAAAATTAAAATTAAAAAATTAAAAATAAATAAATAAATAAATTTCTCTTATTTTTAATGTTTTGCAATCCCAACATGATTTTTGTAGTTCGGTGTAGATATGGAAATGTTGCTGCAAATTAGATAATGTAAAGCATTAACGCAGAATTTTACATGATAATTTAAGAACAATCCGTATTTAAGGAGCTTTGCATTTCATCTGCCTTGCAAACAAAGAACAATTTTTATTTTTTGAAATGACATCTTTATTAGATAAAGGATTTTTGGATATGTGATCTAAGATTATTATGTGTCTCCTTAGCTCTACAAGGACTTTTGTTATTAATTTCACAATGAAAAGAAATTTGATTTATAGGTTTTCTGTTCAACTGTGTCCTAACATTAATTTGGGCTCCTATTTTCTCTGGTTATTAACCTTTCTTGCCGGTTGGTTTTTCAGAAGCCTATGATCCACTTGACCCAAATGGAAATATTACGATTAAATGGGAAGTTATTAGCTGGACTCCAGATGGCTATGTTGTAAGTACCAGTAAACTAGTATTCAATCGCGTTTTCTGACTTTTATACCCTTTTGAATTATACTTTCAAATTTATTTAGAATTAAGTTAATTCTTACAAGAAACTGCGCTAATCATTTGTATTCTACGAAATGGTTATGGGTGCTGTTGTTGTTACTACTCCGTATGAAATGGTTATCATTTTCCTAAGTTCATTTTCCAGTGTTGATAAAAAAAGGTGGCTTTATTTTTGACAATTGTAGTTGATAATTTCTTTCGGATTTGCAAAAATTCTTTTTAGCTTTAATTAGGTCAGAGGGGCACCTCTTAGAATGCTTGATCTCATTAAAAAACTGATTCAAATCGGATTTTTAAAAAACAAAAAAATAATTCTTTCAATCATGTCCAAAACTTGCAGCAATACTTCAATGTACCTTTCTTCCCTGCATTAAATATTTAAACAGCTCCTCACTGGAAATTGCACAGGCTGTTGTCACAATGTTCAACTTCCAGAATATCGTCGCATTCAAGCACCAGGATGGACGCTATGATGGACATGGGCAAAAGAGGAGGTGATATGGAGCATGATGGGAGCCCAAACTACAGAGCAAGGAGATTGTTCAAAATACAAAGGGAACATTCCGCATTCCTGCAAGAAGGATCCAACGGTTGTGGACTTATTGCCGGGAACTCCTTACAACCAGCAAATTGCGAATTGCTGCAAGGGAGGAGTAATCAACTCATGCGGGCAAGATCCAAACAATTGTGCGAGCTCATTCCAGGTTAGTGTGGGTGCAGCTGGAACCACTAACAAAACAGTTCGTGTGCCCAAGAACTTCACCTTGCAAGCACCTGGACCGGGTTATACTTGTGGACCTGTAAAAATTGTTAAACCTACCAGATTTGTTAGCCAAGATGGAAGGAGAGTCACACAGGCTATGAGTAAGTTACCGGACAGAGATTGTAGAGTACTTCAGTTAGACTTATTAATGTTTATTTCATGCTTGAAGGCCAAACCTGCACAATTATACAGTCATTTCATAGCTGAGAAAACAGATGAATCTAAAAGTAACGTTGCTACTGGAAGAAATCTAAAACTATAGCTTAGGAAGGTCAATACATCATTGAGTTTATGGTGTCCGGAACTGAAATGCATGTTATAATGTTGTTATTTAAACAATCATAATTTCGGGAACAAATTCTTTCAAAATGGCTGTTGATTTTCTATTGCAAGGTGTTTGAGTTATTTAAGACTTGTGTCAATATTTAGAGAAGCATCATACGCAGTCATATTGTCATGACGAGTTTTTTTGTGTCTCCAAAGGGTGCTAATGAAGATATTTAGACCGGTACCTTTAAACTTATTGGATAATAATCCCATCTTTCTGTCATGGCAGTGACATGGAATGTTATATGCACATATTCGCAATTTTTGGCTCAGAAAACTCCAAATTGCTGTGTTTCTCTATCATCCTTCTACGATGACACATGTGGCTGCCAAAACAACGCCACTGAGCCAGGGAGCTGCGTTGAGTATGTTCTCTTAAAATTATTTTTCTGCATCTTCCTGCTTTTCTCTTCTTGTAACAAGATTTAAAAGAGGAGATTTTTCTTCGAGCTTCTTCTAATAAGAAAATAATTTTTCCCTGCTGATTTATTGAATTTCAGTATTTTAATTTTTTAATATCATATATTCCCTATGTAATTTTTTTATTTATTGAATTTCAATAGGGTTAAGTGCAAAAAAATTAGAAATATATAGGGTTTGTGCGTCCTTACTTTTTTAAAATGTCTATATTAGTCTATAAAATTCAAAAAAAATACAAATAAGTCCGTCAGACCACTTTTTTGACAAAAACTAAATATGAAAACTCTATTTTATCTTTTTGATTTCCATTTTACCCCTAACCCATATGTGCATGTTACTCCCCCTGTACCCTTCTCTCTCCTCCCTCTCTCTCTTGGGTTAGTCCTCCTTCCGGCGCTTGTGTTGTCGAACTGCAATGATTTACCATGATCTTACAACCAGCTGCTTCTGACTCATCATGGATCTTCAATCTCCTCATTCTTATATATATATACATATATGTATGTATTGATTATATATTTTATATTTTTTTAGTTAAATAAATAAATTATTTGGTTATGGATTTGATATTGAAAGAAAATATATATATTTGCGGCCGGTGATGTGATATTGATATTTGCTACTTTCCTCCTGAATGCATCTGATGATTTTGTATCCACCAAGATCTCTGAGGCCTCTTCTCAATATTTGTTTTCCTATATCAGTTTGTTTTTTAAACAATTATTTGTGGTTTTTAATATATATATATATATATATATATATATATATATATTTTAATCTTATGAAAGGAATGTATAAAAATTCAACAGGTCTGAATTCTGGCATAATCCATGATAATTGGAATAAAAACTAATTACAAATATTATATTAAAAATTATTTAGAAAATTCATGTTAATTGTCCAACACAGTTTGATTTAAGGCACAAACAATTATTCGGCTAGAATGCTATTGTAGCAGAGGTGGGGAATTCAGGGGGATGGAATCAGGGTTTACCTATTTGAATAGTAAGTGGGGAGACAATGGTACAAGATTGCATAAATATTTTCCTTGAAGCTGTCACACCAAAAAAACCAAGAAAACATTCGACCTTCTACATCAAGTAATAAAGTTTTTAGAAGATATGGCGATTTTCTTCCTCAAATAAATGTATGAGGATTTCATTGTGTATAGAGAAGGCATTCCCATTAAGTCTTCTAATCAGGGTGAAGCATTGGGGTGTGAAACAGACAGTTGCTTGAATAAGGCGTTGCGCTATTGGTATACCCCATCTTTATTATGACGAAGTGTTTGGTTTCGGTTTTTATTATATCCAGTTTTAAGTTTTTTTAGTTTAGTTTATTTCAATTTTATACAAATTAAGGTTTATTTTATTCTTATCCCAAACAAACACAATTTTATACAAATTGAATAAAAAAAAGTCATTTTACATGGCCTGTATTTATAGTTATTAATTTATTCAACTGAGGTGAGGGTATTATAGTCATTTTATACCACACATAGACCTATTTGCACCAAGTTGATAGTATAGGGGGTTCTATATCACAAGGGACCTTTTTGCATTATATCAATAGTAATAGTAGAGAGTTTTTTTTACACTTAACCCAATTTCAATATTTCATACAACTATAGTATTATTATTAGTATTATCCTTTTTTGAATTTTAATATTTCGTACAATTATAATATTATTATTAGTATTATAAAGTATATTAATATTATAAGGAAGGTGGATTCCAAAAGGAAGGTAAATTTATTATTCATTTATTATAAAAATAAGTAATACATTGAAATTCTTTGTACTTTTAATAATAAGTATAAACATAGATATAGATATATATTATTTGAATTTGAATATAGGCAAGGCGAAGCCAGGAATAAGAGTTTGGAGGCTAAAATAAGATTATGTAATTAAAAGTTAAGAAATCAATTGTATTCCCCCCCCCCCCCCGCGGGCCGTGCGCCGCGGGGCCCCGGCACAAAAAACAAAACTATTCCAATGTGGTGTTTCTAACTGATATCCGTTTAAATGACACAAAAAATAAAACTATTCCAATGTGGTGTTTCTAACTGATATCCGTTTAAATGATTAGGACAAAATTATCCTTTAACAGATTATTATTCGATAACTTAAATTTTTTTTTTTTTTCTCTCTCCTCTCTATCCTTCAAACGAGGTATGTGAAAGCGTAAAGAAAAATTCCAAAAAAAATAAAGATTTAAAAGCCAATAAAATCATATTTAAGTTTGGTATAATTAAAATCGAGTACAGCGACACAGGAGAGAGAAAATCGCCTTCTAATAAAAGATGGAAAAAGTAGCTAAAGAACTGCTTCACTGCACTTGATCTTTAGCAGTCATTATAATTAATAATTTGCCTTGTTTTCTTAGTTTAATTTATTTTTCTTAATTGAATTATGTTGCTGCAAAGTAATGGGATTAAACTAGGCAATTAAAAAGCAACAAAAGTTATTTTTGCACTATCTCCTTACCCATTAAAGTTTTTCTTACTTGATAAAAACTATAAATGAGCCTATCTTCACCCCACTTAGCTTCAAACAATTCACTACCCAATCAATTTTTAGCTTCAATAGCTCAACACTAATACACACCATTCCTTACTCTTTACCTCTCCACTGTCCTCCATCTCCTCCTCCTCCCCACCAGCCCCGCCGTCACCACACCACCATACATTCCCACCAACAAGTATTACGTGGATGGTAGGTGCAAGAGGAACAGTTGGATACATTGCCCTTGAAGTATTTAATTTCTAGGAATTTTGGAGGGGTGTCTTAGAAAAAATATTGTTACAAAAATAATTTTCTTCTAGCAATTGTTTCAATTTTTTTAAAAAAATAAAGAAATTTTAACCACTTTGAAAAAGGTATATCATTATTATATTGATGAAAGATTAGTAAGAAAAAAAAAAAAAAAAAAAAAAAGGGCGAATTGCAAAAAAGAACCTCGATTAGTCAGTTGCAAAAAAACCCCCTCATGAATATTTTTGGCAAAACCCCCCCTCAACTATTGGTGTTTTTAACTGATATCTGTTTAAGTGATTGTCTGAGGGAATTTTTTGAACAAAATTATTCCTTAACAAATTATTCTTTAGACAACTTGTTTATTTATATTTCTCCCTCCTCTCTGTCTGTTAAGCAAGGTATGTGAAAGCAGTAAAGAAAAATTCCCCAAAAAATAAAAATTGAAAAGCCAATAAAATCATATTTAAGCTAGGTGTAATTAAAATCGAGTACAACGACATAGGAGAGAGAAAATCCACCATGGCATTCGAATAGAATATGAAAAAAGTATCTCAAGAACTCCTTCATTGCACTAGATCTTTAGCAGCCATTATAATTAATAATTTGCTTCTTCATTGCACTTGATCTTTAGCCGCCATTATAATTAATAATTTGCCTTGTTTCCTTAGTCTAATTTATTTTTCTTAATTGAATTATTCTGCTGCAAAGTAATTGAACTAAAATAGGCAATTAAAAAGCAACATAAAATATTTTTGCACTATCTCCTTGCACGTTAAAGTTTTTCTTACTTGATAAAGACTATAAATGAGCCTATCTTCACCCCACTTAGCTTCAAACAATTCACTACCTAATCAATTTTTAGCTTCCATAGCTCAACACTAATGAACACCTTCACTACTCTTTACCTTTCCACCGTCCTCCATCTCCTCCTCCTACCAGCCCCACCGTCACCACACCACCATACACTCCCACCAATGAGTATTATATGGACGGTAGGTGCAAGAGGAACAGTTGAATATATTGTTCTTGAAGTATTTAATTTCTGGAAATTTTGGAGGGGTGTCTCAAAAATCTTAGGTCTACAGCTGCGGAATGATGGTTCTTGAAATGGTTAGTGGAAAAAAAAATATTGGAGCTAGAACAGTTCATTCAAGTGAAGTATATTTTCTGGATTGCATTTACACACAATTGGAACACAATGAGGATCTTAATGGTGTTACAAATGGCGAGGAAAAAGAAACAAGAAGGAAAATGCGCACAGTGAGTTTGTGGTGCATTCGGACTAATAGTCCATCAATGACTATTGTGGTAGAAATGTTAGAAGGAAGCCTTCAATCCTTGCAAATTCCACCTAAACCCATCCTATCTTCTCCTCCTAGATTGGAACAAAATACTTCTGTATTATTACCACCAAGTTCTAGTACTGACCAAAACAAAGTGTAATTGGAGGGATATTAACAAAATACTTCTAAAAAGCTCGTTACGGATTTGGGTGGTTGTCGGAGGTGTAATCGGAGGGATAGCAGTCACTGGCAGATCTAGGAGTGGGCTCAAGCTCACCTCAAAAATAAAAAATAAAAAATAATAAAAATAATATAATAATACTATACCTAGTTTTAGCCCAGTCCAAAAATATATATATATTATTACTATTAATCCACCCAAAGAAATATTAGTCCATCTAGGGTTGCAAATGAACCGAGCTGTTCATGCTGTTCATGAACAGCTCAGCTCGGGCTCGGCTTGTTAAAAACTCAACTCTAAATCGTTCGCTAACTAAATGAGCTAAACTTGAGCATAAATTTCAAGCTTGTTTAATAAACGAGTCAAGCTTGAACAATACCAAGCTCGGCTCGTTAAGCACGTGAACAAACTTGTTTAAATAAAATACATTATATTTAATTTTTTATATTTAACAACCTACCCAAAATAAAAATTTAGCCGAAGTTAACAATTATATTACATGGGCCCAATTAATACATAGCTATCTACAAACCCATCTTATATACGAAGTCCATTTAATGGCACAAGTCATGATTCATCTCATTATCTAGCATTAGATTCCTTTTACAATTTTATGGGTTAGATTAGAAAACCCTAAGCGCAGCCGCATAAGCGACAAGTGATCTAAACTTTCTAGTTTGCATCGCCTCACCTGTAATGACCTGGTCATTTTCTTTTCTTTCCTTTTTCCTCAAATTTTACAGATAAATTTTTTTCGTTGTCTTTTCTATTTTGTGTTTGGTTTCTCGTCACTTAGTGTCGTCTTGAGTGCTCGAAAATGGTTTCTAAGACTCTTTCCTTTGGATTGACAACTTTCTTTAAGGATCGAGTCATTTTCGCATTTTTTTGTTTTTCGACACTATTCACTTTTCGTCATTTTCCTTATTTTGTCTTTTCCCCATTTGTCACTTTGTTGGCATAAATCACTTTCTGTTTTCGGAGTTGGTTTTTGATTTCACGTATCTTCATTCTAAATGGTTTCCACGAAATATGTATCTTTGCTTTTGGAGTAAAGTACTCTTGTTGCTCCCGGTGTCCATAAGGGCATGGATGTATAATTTTTCAGAATCTTTTTCTTTTCTTGGGATTTTTTTCATAAATATATTTTGAAGATATTTTATTTCAGAAGTTTTTAAGAAAATATTTTTTGAAAATATTTTCATTCTGGGTCATTAATGTAGTTTTTTCACTTTTTGGAGGGGCCATTGTGCAATTAATGAAAGTTATTGCAAAAATGCCTCGTTTTGAGCCTGGATCCTCGTACGGGATTCATTTTCACTTTTTGTCAAGTCGTATACTCTTAGAATTTCCTTCTAGTCGTTTTCCTCCAATTTCAAAGTTTCTGGCCCTAGTTGCCGTCGAACTTGTTCGGGACATATCTCTCTGCTCGGGACTCAATTTTTGACGCCGTTTC